GCTTCGAGCCTTGTTGAGGCGTCTTGGGGGCTTCTGATGCCGTCTGGAGGGTATCTTGGGCCGTCTTGGAGCGATCCTGGGCTATTTCAGGGCTCTGTTCGAGCAAGCCGCGGTAGAATTGAGCCCGAGGCGTCTGGGAGGCAAGCAATCGAAGAGAAAACTTTCTCTCAGGGAGGGGTGCTGCCCCCGGGGAGGGGGGCGGGTCACAATCCTGGGACCTCCCCCTGGGCCCCTCCGCTCCGCCCCTCTGACGGGGGAGGGAGCAAAGGGAAGGGGCTCCCATTCGACGATGCTCGATGTTTCGTTTGCTGGATTTGCTGACTATTTGGGTCGAATGCCATCGGAGTAGCCTTTGAAGAGTCGAAGGGGAAACCTCTCACACACGCCGACAGAGTCGGCAGATTGTCAGGCTTGGATTCGAGCGTCAGGTTTCGAAGAGCGGTGTCGTCGCCTTTGCTGTCCACGCAGCGGCGAAGGTTTTGCTTGTAGCTCCTATCATGACGCCCTTCTGTTTTGAGCGTAGGTTTTAAGAAAGGAAGGAACCCCCCCGACCCCGATAATCGGCGTTTGCCACACGGCCCTGGACGTGTCCTGGGGGCCTGAGAGAGTCCGAGGCGAGAACCCTTCGACTTAAGCGTAGTAGGTTCAAGCTCAGAGAACTCGAGGTGGGAATTCATCCATAATCAATGCCTGGTGTATCGATCATCAGGGACCTCGGCAGGCGGTGGATCCATAACCTCCGCCTGGCCCCTCTTTCGCCTGCCCGCCCGCCTCGCCGGCCCTGGCCTCCCGCCTGGGCGTTCGTCGTCGTCTGCCTGCTTCTCCCCTCCTCGTCCCCTCTGACCGGGCAGCACAGCCTGTTCGGAACCAGCGTGGCGGCTCGTGGGGCGTCGGCCAGAGGGCCTGCACGGAGCGCAGAGTCGCACGCAAGGTCGCTGGTTTGGAATTCGTCGCCGGATTTCTCGGATTTCCCGGAGGTCCTTGATTTACTTGATTTGTTCCACACGCTGCCTGTTGAGTTTGCGGGGCCACGCTCAGGCTCGCTCGGGAGCCGACCCCGCAGAGTCTCGTCGTGGCGCGTGTCTCGTCTTCGCCGCGCTCATCGGACATTTGGCCGCGCGGGGGAGGGCTGAACGGCACTCTCGCCACGTACTAGGGACCCCTGGGGCCCAGATATATCCATATCCACCGCCCGCTGGGGTCCCAGGACGTCGGCTCCCCAGGCCGTGGATGTGGATGCATCCCCGCGTCGCTGAGAAGGCCTTCGAGCGTAGGTTTGAGCTCCAGGCCTTGCGTCGTGGGGCTCCCTCGCGAAGGCGGGAAAGCGCTCCGGAGGGCCGGCCCGCTGCCGGCGCCCGCAGTGCAGGGCCACCTCCCGGCGGGCGCTCCGAGGGCGGCGACGGCCGAGGCCCACCTCTCGCGTCGTGCAGTCAGCCCGCAGATGGAGGATGAGCGGCTCTCCAAGGTTGCCCTTTTGCATCCTTGCCCCTTCGGCCCATCCTCGGCCGCTTTCGCTGGCCGCGCCCCGCCCGCAAAGTGCCGACATGGCCTTCCGAGGCCCCTTGCAGCCTCATCGTGCGTCCTCATCACGCGGGTTGGCTGTGCTGCATCGGGATAATCAAGGGCTCCCTCGAGGGCGCGAAGTTATTCGCGCTTCGCGCTTCGCGGTCCTCATTCCTTCTCCCCCTCCTCCTCGTCCTCCTATTCTCCCTTTGGGAGGGCGGCGCGAGAGCGCGAAGTTATTCGCGCTTCGCGCTTCGCGCAGCGCGAAGCGCGAAGTTGGGAGCCCTTAATAATTGTCGGGGTGTGTGGAACGACGGGTTCCTGGCGCGTCCCGCCCGTGGCCCGACCTGCGCCCGCACTTGCCTTCGGTTCGCTTGCGCCCGCTGACTGACAGCGTCCAGGGATCGGGGACACGTAAGACTCGAGGAAGCCAGAACTCTGACTTTTTTTCGACGAGCGCGTTTTGGAGTTTGACGGTCCCGTTCTCGTGGGATGTCTGCAGCGGGAGCCCGCGTCGAATTTCATATTGGGCCTCGTCATTTTCATGATGGCCCCCGTCAGGCCAGCCCGATTCCCCCGTACCCGAGTCTTACGTCTCCCCGAAAGGACGGATTGGGATCGCTCGCTTTGTGGCTGGTCGCTCAGAAGGATCGGCACCTCGAACGTTTTGCACGGAGCCACCAGCCCGCCCCTGATACGCTATGCTGAGGTCGGGCGTGTCCCTCTACAGGAGGAGTAGTCAGGGGACGACTTTTCCGTATGTTTAATTGATGTTTGGAGCATGTTGGGAGTATTTTTAATCTTTCGTCCACAATCCGCTTGTAGGGGGACATGCCCGACCTAACGCTATGCGTCGGTCGCCTGGAATAACGAGATGTCCTTCGATTTGCTTCAGAGGGCTGGGATGGCCGTGCGAAACGAGCTCGCCATCAGACAAGATTGGCCCAGCTGCCAGGGTTCCATCTCTGCGGCGATACCGTCGTAGTGTCGGATAAGATGGTCGATGTGGCCATCGCAGATTGTAGCTGATGGTGTTAGCAACCTCACTTCCGTTTCTGTCAGTCCCCGTGCGAATTCCGTGATTTGTTGCGGTCAGACAGTTCCAGGTGGCAAGCAACTCTGACTCTCCGGCAGGTGCCCGAAGCCGATGGGCCGGAGGCGATCTGGATGCGAGGCTTGCGCCACAGGATCTTGAGCATCTCGGACACTACGAGGCAGGGTGCTGCTAGGTGTTTGGCAGGGTGTTCGATGTGGCCTCCAACTCGGCGCCGCCAGGCCGACCTCTGCGAGTCTTATGCATGTGCATTGTGCTCTTCGGGTTCCAAGGGCGCCATGGGCCATCAGTTCTACGGCTATGATGGTGTTTGGGATGTCCCTGGGAACCGAGGGCACGTGTGTCCTGGCGATGTCCTGGAGTTTCGGTCGGGGTTCAGGGACAAAGGGGGGACGGGCTTGCCCCGCCTGATTGGGGCGTGCTCGAGCTGGCGCGCGATTTCCCTGTGGAAGGAGTTTCGGCCCCTCTGGTCCCACATGGCCGGCCCCCCTGCCTGCTCGTGGGGTCCCCGCCCGTCCATGCTGGCGGTTCGGGACTGACCAGCAGCACTCCCGAACTCCGCCGGCGTGGATGGGCGCCGCGGAGAAGGTCCCTCGCGGGCCCCTTCTGTGCGCGCTGTCTACGGGGCCCCCCTTGGGAGGCGCCAGTCGGCGCCAGCGGCTGAGCGCCATGCGATGTTCTGGGCGTTCAGGCACGGTCCTGAGGACGCTCTGGTCGGTTCTGACCATGTCAGTGCTGCTGCCCAGCGTGACCGGTGGTCTCTTGCACTGGCCAGGGGCCACGCTCTGTGTGCTTCTACCTGGAAGTAGGTTCTTGAACTGTACAGAGAGTCGGACACGCGCCCAAGTTTTTTATCTGAATGCCTGCCCACCGAGAGCGGGGCTCGTTGGTGCAGGGGGGCGCTGGGCAGGCTGGGCTGGCGCAGTGCCTTGGAAACTTGTGGGCTGTTTTTTCGCCCGCCCAGGCCCAAGCAGCGTTGCAGCTCCGAAAACCTTCGCCGATTTCCAGGAAAGTCGGTTCGGCCAAAGTTAGAACCAGTTCGATGTTCTGGCCCGCTTCTCCCGAACCGTGGCCAGCCTGGCTGGAGGGGGCGACTCGGCCCATCCGTGTTGGGCAAGCCGCGGGTCGACAGCAGGGCGGTCCTGCTGGAGCATGCTCTGTGCCGCTTCCCCGTCTCGTGGGGAGCGAGGATGCAGGGGGTGTAATTTGTAGGGGCTCGAACGGGGGGGGGGGGCTTCCCAGGCGCAGCTGCGCTCGGGGAGCCGACGAGTCTGCTCGCCCTCGGCCTGCCAGGCGATCCAGGCGAGCGAATGCTTCAGCTTGGTCGGCTCAGAGGCGGCCCCAATGGCCTCCGCAGCGGTGTTCGAGGCGTTGCAGGCTGCCTGACGAGGTCCTGGGGCCACATGAGAGCCCTACAACTGCCTCACCGTGCTGTGCTGGGCAAATTTTTGGCTGTAGACCACTATACACAGCACTGCGGGGGGGGGGGGGGTTGTTCCTTGTGCCAGCCTGTTGCATTATGTCCGAAGGCTCGTTCCGTGGTCTCAAAGCGCTTTGCAAGGGTCGAAGCGTCCATTTCAGCATCAAGTCCTCGTAGTTGCTAAATATAGAGTCTACCGCGAGGGGGCTCAGCCCCGAGACGGGTGATCTCTTTGTTCGATGTTTTCCGAGGTTGGGGGGTTAGCTTGTCGAGTCACGGACCCTGCCGATTGGCATGGGGCGTCGCTGCAAAATTTCCGAGGGTGGCCCCCCCCAACCCCTTGCCCAGCCGTGTGGATTGTCTTCGCTTGCCGGGCGTCTCATATGCCTGGCAGAGCGAGAGTCGGCAGCGCACGTCAGTCGAGCTGACGAGGCGTGGCCACCCCGCCTCTCGCCGAGACGCTTGCGGATCCCCCTCGCGCTCCCTCGCCACTCCATCAACCACGCAGCTCCCCTTATGCAGACTGCGCGCAACACGACAGGGTCCTTCTGGGTGCTTCAGGTCCGCTACGGCAGCCGCTGGCGGGTAGAGAAGGATCAGCGCAACGGGAAGGGATGGGAGAGAGGGGTCGGATGTCAGATGTGGCGCGGGCGCGCCTAGTTTGTCTCTCCCCCTTCTCCCTGTGTCCCATCGCCGTCGTCGTCGTCGTCGTCGTCGTCGTCGTCGTCGTCGTCGTCGCCGTCGTCGTCGTCGTCGTCGTCGTCGTCGCCGCCGTCGTCGTCGCCGTCGTCGTCGCCGTCGTCGTCGTTGTGGTCGTCGTCGTTGTCGCTCGCACATCCTGGGGTGCGTCCTGACCAGAGTCCCCGCCCAGGTGGATCAAGCCGCGGCCACCAGGGCGCCCCAGGACGATCAAGATCCTACGCTCCTCGAACCTCGGGCCTCGAACCTGGGGCCTCGAAGGTCGTTGCCGCCGCTGCCGCCGCCCTCGTCGTCGACGCCTTGCCCGCCGGCGGGGCCCGCTAGGCCTTGAAAGGCAAGCAGGGCTGTGACTCGAGGTGCCGCTTCTCCTCGCGCCGCTCCTCGGAGGGAGGGGCGGTGAGGGGGAGGAGCAGGAGCAGGAGCAGGAGCAGGAGGAGGAGGAGAAGCAGGAGGAGGAGGAAGAGGAGGTCGAGGTGGAGGTGGACTTGGAGGTGGTGGTGGAGGAGGAGGAGGCCAGGCGAAGTTCCAGGAGGAGCTCCAGGAGGAGGAGGAGGAGGAGCTCCAGGAGGAGGAGTCGGAGGGGGAGGAGCAGGAGCAGGAGCAGGAGCAGGAGGGGTTGGAGGGGTAGAAGGAGGAGGAGGAGGAGAGAGGAGGAGGAGGAGGAGGAGGAGGAGGAGGAGGAGGAGCAGGTGGACGGAGGAGGAGAGGAGGAGGAGGAGGAGGAGGAGGAGGAGGAGGAGGAGGAGGAGGAGGAGGAGGAGGAGGAGGAGGAGGAGGAGGAGTAGGAGGAAAAGGAGTAGGAGGAGGAGAGGTAGGACGATGAGGAGGATCAGGATCATGATGATGAGGAGGATCAGGAGGACCAGTGCAAATCCAGAACCCACCAACGACGTTGCAATAAACCCTCCCTCCAAGTTCCCTCCTCAGAAGCCCCTACAAGGATTTATGCGTCGTTTAGGGAAGTGTCCTGTGGGAATACAATCGCCTGAGAATCCTGGACGGTGCCACAACACCTTTCGTGGAACTGCGATTCCGCAATCAACGTGACGGTCGCGTCCGGGCGATCTTGAATCGTGCCAGCACGTTGTTCCAGGGACTTCAGCACCGCGAATCAACGTTATTGCTGCGCTCTGACTGTCCTATATCATGCCAAAACACATTCTGTGGGCGTCAACATAAACAACATCTAATTCTTAAGACGAGTGCCGCCCTCCATCCGTGAAGCTCTTGCAAAGCTTGAAACGACGGTGCACGGCGCTAGTGCGAGAGCCACATTTTGAAAACGGCCCGCCCTCCATCCGTGAAGCCTTCGCGAATTTGAAAGCCGAGTATGCACGGCGCGAAGGCGAGAGCAACATGTTGAAACATGCCCACCATCCACCCGTGATGCCTTTGAAACTTTTCACGGGGACTTGTGCGAGGCGCTAAGGTGAGAGTCGCATTTTGAAAGTGGCCCGCCCTCCATCCGTGAAGCTGTTGCACACTGTTAAGATGAGTCCGCGCGGCGCGAAGGCGAGTTCCACATAATAAAAACGGCCCGCCATCCGTGAAGCTTATGCGAACGTTTCCGACGAATGTGCGCGGCGTTCGGGTGAGGGCTACATTTGGAAGCGGCCCGCTTTTCCGCATCTTCCATCCGTGAAGAAGCATTACTAAAGCTCCCCTCGCTGATCATATGTTTCTTTTGTGCCTTTTTTCTCCGAGTGAGGGTTTGCGGAGCTATCTTATCAACATTGACATTGCGTTACCATTCGCAACCACTTCTGCTTAGAGGTAAAATATCGCGCGCGCCCTCCCTCCCTTCCTCCGTTTGGCTGGCCAGCGCGCACACACATATCTCTTATTGCTGATTCGCTGCACGGACAGACTAGCCATGGTATCAAGTACATCCCCTCCGAGGCGGAATGTGGGGCCACTTCTAGAAGGTCAAACATCTAGACCAAGAGCCGATTGACAGGATCAACATAATGCCCGACTCCGTGATGGATTGGCAAAATGCTGATTCACAGCTGGAAGCTTCACCACGAGATCACGAAGAGGTGTTTCTTGTTTCGAAGGCGGATGTGCCAAGCAATGAGGAGCAACGCCACGGCTCAAAAGGAATCCTATATATCGCCTTCGAACCCGAGTCCCCTGACTGCGCCAGGGGCTCAGACATGCGTTCTTCGCAGAATCTCAGCCAGAGCTTCTTGCTGTCGTCGGGAAATTCGCCGGCAGAAGGGGGCCCCGGCTGTCGTGACACCGCGAGCGGATGCAGACAAGGTGGCGGCAGACGCCGAATTTCACGGGTCAGGCCACTTGCACGAGCAGCCATTGCCGCCCAGCGCCCATCAAGCCTACGCGATATCTTCTGACTCGGAAAACGAAATGGACGACCACGCATCCATCTCGTCGGAAGAAGCGGGGCCGGTCAAGTCGACGCCCTGCCTGACGCGGAAACAGCTGATGAGTTTCATCCATGGGGGTGGCTCCGAGGCTTGCGGTCTCGGGCCATCCCCGATATCGGGAACCGCCGCCGACCGACGCCAGTACTTCTTGACGACTGCGTCGCAGAAGCCTCGCGGTAAGACCTTCAAGGAGAAATGGCGGAGATGATGACCGGCATGCCTGCGGCCGCTCAGCAGAGATCGGAAGACGCAGGCGGGTCGAGAGCGCCCGCTGCGAAGCAGCGGCGAAAGGCCACCAGCCTGTCAGTCAGATCCCCGCCCGTGGAGCGAATCAGGGGGCGGCCGTGGGAGCTTTGCTCCTCCGATGCCATCCCCGCCGGTCAGCCCGCGGCGGACTTCGCGCGCTGGGTGACCGACCCTCAGGTTGACGAGGGCCCCCGCGCCCTGCGCTCGCTCTCCGCGGGCTGGGGGCGTTGGGCCCAACCGGCGCGGGACCTCGAGCGCCCCGTCGGGCGCGTCGTCGCCCCCCCCTGGGCGCGCGGCGTTCTCTGGGCGCTGCTGCTTAGGAAATCGATGACAATTGAAGAAGCCAGTCTGTCGCGCGTGTTCTGTCTGCGGCCGCCATTGCAACTTGGCCTTCCTCTGCCCGGACTGCGCCCCCCCTTCGCGCGCGCCCGCGCGGCGCTGCGCGGCCTCGAACGGGGGCGGACCGACGAACGAGGGCGGGGGTCAATGGCCGAAGGGAGGGGCCGGGAGATGGCGCGAACGAGAGACCAGATCATGATGGCCGAAGATCAACGGCACGCAGCTGCTCGCGCCAAGGCTGCGAACGACCATTTCACGATGATTTGCACCATGGGGCAGGCTGGTGAAAGGCAGCGGGCTTGTCGCCTCATAGCGGGCGATGCGAGCGTCAGCTGAGCTCCGCGAGGTGGCCAGCAAGGTGGAGGCCTCGGCAGCCACCGAGAAGCGTGCTCAAGCCTTCGAGCAGAGTGTCGAAGAGGAGGCCGGCCGCGTCGTCCGGGGGTCTGGAGAGACCCCGCAGGTGACGATGGCCAGAGTCGCCGAAGAGCTCACGGCGGCTGGAGCGCGCAACGCTCTCCTCGAGGCAGAGGCAATCGCGGTGGTTCGACGGGCCCGGGCAGATCGACTGGGCGACGAGGCCGTTGCGAAGAAGGCATCGGCCGAAAGCGCAGAGGCGATAAGGCAGGCGCAGGGCGAGGTCAGCGACGCTCGCCAACGGGCACATGCCATTGCCCAAGCGGCAAGCGCGAACTGCGTTCGCGCTGCCGCCGAAATTCGCGACGCACTGGAAAGGGCTTCACGCGAATGGCGGAGCGAACGTCTCGGAATGCCAAGGTTTGAGCATCGCGGCCCGCCGAGAACTGGGGGGCGCAGCGCGAGCAACTGCGTCGACGGCAGGCTGAACTACGAGCGGCAGCAGTCGGATAAACGCGCTTCCGGACAAACCTTGGATAGGTTAAGTTCGCCACGGTCAACGCGGCTCCTCCGCGGGCGGAGTCGCCCAGGCCGGCCGCGCAAGCGCCGCGCCTGGGCGGGCTATGGTGTTTCTTGCGCAGCAGAGTTACGGACCATGACTGCGCGCGATGCACGAGGTCATTTTGCGGCGTTCGCTGCGATGCGATGGAACATAAATGCGCCGCCTGCGTCGACGGACGACTCGGCGAAGAAGGGCCGGGAAGCTGACAGAAAGCGAGAGAGAGAGAGGGACGAGGAAGATGAACGCGAAGCGAGAAGGAATCTCGAGGATCGGATCGCCCCCAAATCCGCGCCTGGAGCGGGGCCCTTTGACTGCCCGCAAGACGCCCCGCGACTGCGTCGCGAGCGCAGCGGGACGCGCGGACGAGCAGAAGGTGGAAGATGACGTCTCCAGACGATTGGAGGCGCTCGAAGATTGCGCCAGGGCCGAGCACCAGAGGCAGTCGGATACGCTCGAAGGAGCGACGGGGAGCGCGGAGGGCCGCGCCGAGGCGAAGGCCAGGAGGCAGGAGCTGCGCGCTGAGGGGCGCGTGGAGGCTGCTGCCGCCGCTTAGATAAAAGCCCCAGGAAGGGGAGGGCGAAGCCAGGGCGGGTGAGCAGGGCGCCGCACGAAGAAGGAGAAGCTCAGGCGGTCCCAGCCACTTCCCTGGCTGGAATCCGCCCGTCCCCAGGAAGCCCGGCGGCGGCGTCGGCGGCGGGGGCTGCGCCGTCCATGGGGGGAGGGGCAGGGCGGGCCCAGGCCAGCCAGCGCAGCGCCGGCCACGCAGCCGCGCGATCCTGGCCTACCAGGTGGCGACGACGACGATCAAGATGACGACTGGGGCGAGGGCCCCGACGACTCCGACTCGTAGGAAGACGAATTCTGAGACGAGTCGTCCGACGAGGAAGATAGTGACGAGGGCGGCTGTCGGCGTGGCCGATGACGCGGGCCGCCAAGCGGCCCGCCAGACGGAGGCGGGGCCCTCCCCGACGGGGCGCAGGGCGCCGCTGCCTATTGGAACGACGCCGGCAAACATGAAAAGGTGAACGTCGAACCCATCCCCGACGCAGCCGGCTATAGTAAGCGGAGCAGAGGCGTTGTCCGCCACGTCGCGTCGCGCCCCCCCAGCTGGCAGCAGGCCGCGATGAAAATCAAGATCCGCGGCGCGGGCAAAGAAGCGGGCGCCGATCTCCATCGCTTTTTCGACGAATGAATGGCGATCATGAACGAGGTGGATGTGCCCCGCAAGTCACGCCGCCCATCAATCCAATAGGCATGCAAAAGTGCCCGCGCATGTCCACGACTGTCACAGCGCGCTGTCGCAGCAACAACGAGCGCGGCGAAGGGATGAAATCATGCGAGTGGTTGGCGACTCAGATTTGCAGGCGCACGCGGACGGACAGAGGCTATCACGACCGCGCCGCGCAGCGAAAACAAGTCAACACCTGCGGCCTCTCCGCGGCGGGCGCGGGCGGCGGCGGCGGCGGCG